GCGCCGAGGTTGGGAAATATCGAGTCGGAGGTCCGGAGCGCGGGTTACCAACCGAACCGTGAGGTTGGGTCGTGTCGTGAACAGTGGCGGGAATAGTGTCCAGGCGAGTGTCGCGAGTGGTAACGGATTACTGTTGGGTGCTGTTGGCGGGAACAGTGGTGTACACGCTGAGCAGGGACGCGAAGTAAGGAAAAGGAAATTTCCTTACACTACCTCCCCCCCCTAAGGAGGTCCTCCTTACGAGAGCGCGTGTACATCCCAGAAATTTCGGCTGTGCAGATACTCGGTGAGGATGGGGTGGTTTTCAACTCTGTCCAGGGAAAACCAGTTGTCTTCAGTGGGCGTACGGTCTTTCCAGCGGATCATAAATTCGATCCTTCAAGCTCCCCGTGGGTCACGAACTCGGTGGCTCAGAATCTTTTCAGGCGTTATGATTGGTTTTGTCGGCGGTCGTGTCATGCTGGCTGGGCGGTTGCGCGGTAGTTGGCTAGTGGATGGTACGTAAGGGCGAAGCAGGCTGACGTGGAAGGATGGGCAGACGTACCAGTCGGCAGGGAGGAGGAGGTGGGCGGTGACGGGTGTGATCATGTGGCTAATGCGAAATGGTCCGCAATATCGGGGGCGGAGTTTTGGGGTGATTGGCAGGCGGAGATTTTGGGTGTCGAGTAAAACTAGATCGTCGGGCTGGTAAGCAACAGGTCGGCGGTGGCGGTCGGCGTTGCGTTTAGCGATGATGTTTGATTTTTTTATTGCCTCTGCTGCTCAGGTCCGTGCTGCTTGTAAAATTTCGGCGAACTGTTGCGCGCGTGGCACCGGGTTGTCGGGATTCGAGGTCATGGGTACGGTGGGGTCTTCTCCGCAGTTCAGGTAAAACGGTGACTGTTGGGTCGTGGCGGATGGCGAGTTGTTGTATGCGAACTCGATGAGTGGCAGCTGCTGTTCCCAGGTGGTCGGGTCGTGGCACGTGGCCGAGATGAGTTGCTGCATGGTATGGTTTGTCCGTTCTGTCTGTCCGTCGGTTTCGGGGTGGTACGAAGAACTGAACTGTAGTCGTGTGCCGAACTGCTGCCACAGGTTCCTCCAAAATTTGCTGGTGAATTTCGTGTCGCGATCGCTGATGATCGATGCTGGTATCCCGTGCAGTCGAACGACGGTGGAGATGAATAGGCAGGCTGTTTCTTCGGCTGTGATTGACTTTTTGCAGGCTGCGAAATGTGCCATCTTCGTCAGCCGATCGACGACGACCAGGATCGCGTCGTTCCCACTTGCTCCGGCCGGTAACCCCGTGACGAAGTCCATCGTCACCTGCTGCCAAGCACGCTGTGGGGGTGGTATCGGCTGCAACTGTCCTGCCGGCCGCTTCCGTGATGATTTCATGAGTTGGCAGGTGGGACACGATGCCACGTGTCGCTGTACGTCGGTCAACATCTCGGGCCAATAATAATACCGCTTCAACTGCTGCCGTGTTTTTTCTACTCCGAAATGGCCTGAGGTAACTCCGTCGTGTGCCTCCTGTAGCAGTCATTCCCGTAGTAGTGTGTAACTCGGTACCCAGATGCGGTCGGTGCCGGCATTTACGTATTAAACTCCCTTTGCTGCTGCAAACTACTGCGAATTTCCTCCTGTGAAGAATGGGTCTGTTTGATAGCCGTGGGTAAATAGTCCTGTCAGTAGTGGGCTGGTTTGGGCGAGTAGTATAGCGTGGATTTGGGCAGTGGGGCGGGTCAATGCGTCAGCGATGTTCGATGCCCCCTTTTTGTAGGTGACCGTGTAGTGGAAATTTGACTCGAGGAAATCGAGCCAACGAATCTATCATGGGTTGAGGTGGGGCTGTGCGCGGATGTACTGTAGGGATTTATGGTATGTCCGTACTGTCACGTCTGCGCCGGTCAAGTAACAGCGCCACACTTTGAATGCGTGCATGATCGCGAGCATTTCGCGGTCGTGTGTCGGGTAATTTTTCTCGGGCGGATGCAGTTTGCGAGACTCGTATGCGATGGGCTGTAAACCGTTGCCGAAATCCTGTAGCAGTACGGCTCCGATGGCGATGTCGCTTGCCTCTGTAACTACTTTGAATGGGCGGTATGGGGCGGCGATGCGCAGTACGGGTGGTGAACAGAGAACAGTTTTCAGGGCAGAGAAGGCAGCGTGCGTCAGCTCCAGCGGCAACAGCCCGTTTCATCGTGATGGCCTTGACGTGGACCGTTGAAGACTCAGGCGACTGCCAGCGAGGTAGCTCAACCCAGTTACCGCTACTTCGCATAGTGCAGCTACCCGTCGTCCAGTCAGTTCGTGGGTTATACCGTCGCAGCCAATCACGTCCCAGTAAAATATCGTGCCCATCCAATGTGGTCGCGAGCATTTCCTGTGTAAACCTGAAGTTCCCCCCGCAGCGTACTTTTACTCTCTCCACCTTTTCCCGTATGGCCAGCGGCGTGCCGTCAACTAAGGGTGCGTCTATCTCCGGTAAACACCGACTAAGTGCTAGTTGCAGTTTCCGTGCGGTCGCGGTATTAACTAAGCTGTGGCTTGCCCCTCCGTCGATAAAAATCTTCACTGCTGCTCCCTGTATTTTCCCGTGGATCAGTACTGGGCAATCCGTCGCTGTACCCTCCTTATTCATACGAGCCCGATCGATGGCATGAATCGGTACTGTGAATTGGTGAGGGTCGGTGAGGTTGGGCGAGCAGGTAGTCTCGTCAGTAGTTGGCCCGATTCCTACTGACTGCTGGCGTTTCCCTGCCTTGGAGACTCCCTCCCCTGCTCTGCTCCGCGGCGCCTCAGCTCCTCTGGGCATTCACTCTTGCGATGGCCCAGCCTATTGCAAGCAAAGCAGCGCCCCTTAAACGGCGCGGCAGCTGCATTTGTCGCAACGGCGTGTACGGTGGCGTGCTCGATCGGTCCCCGAGGGCGATGTCCGTAGTAGGACTCCGGTCTCGGACGGCGCAAAATGTCGATTTTCTCGGCGAGTGCGTAGATCTCGTTGAAATTCGAGAGCCCGCGTAGCATAATTTCGTGCGAGATGTCCGGCTTCAGCCCTCCGACGTAACGGTCCACCCGCTCCGCTTCGTGCATGTAGCCGACTTGCTCGCATAATGCGAGAAAACCGCTCGTATAGTCTTGAACCGACCCGAGCTACCGCCAAGTACGCAGTCTCTGACGCACCGAAATAGAAGCCGCGATCGGCTCGAAGCGCGCCCGAAGCCATGCGCACCACGCATCCCACGTGCTGTACTGGGTGGTTTCGCAAAATGAACTCCAGGTGACGGCTGGACCCGTGGGCCCTTCCTCTTGCGACGGCGGCTCGTAGGCGCGTGGAGACGTCACGATGAACTCGCCACCAGTCCATGGCGGGGCTCCTCAGCAGCGAGACGGCATATCGGATCTTCGCTGCGTCCGACTCGACGTAGTTCGCGTCGAAAAAGACGTTCATCGTGAAGACCCACGATTGAACCGTCGGACCTCCACGCTGGCTCGGGTCGAAACAGGGCGGGCGCTGCGGCTTGAGTGGCATTGGTGCCATGATGGCGTGGTCGCCACTTGTCGCTGCAAACTACACATGCCGACGGGCTTTGCGAGGCTCCCGGGGGCTTGGCGCGGTCCTGTTCCTCTCCATGCCAGGCATTGATTGAGCGGCGCCCTCACTGCCTGCGCCTGAGCGCTGTCCCACGCTGTCGTTTTGTGTCGGTGTGCCTGATGAGATGACGATCGGCTCCTCCAATTGTGCAGGTGCATTTGCAGGTGCGTGTGGTGGCGCTGGAGCATTCACCGTGGATTGCTGACGAGCGGAGTCGTGTTCCGCCGTGAGTGTCGCAATTTCGAGCGCCGAGTCTTCGATTTGGCGTACGAGACGGTCGAGTTGCTCCTGCGTCAGTGTCGCGAGAGTGAATTCGGCCATGGCGGGGGTGTCGGGCAAGCTCAGCGAGAGCCTCGGTCGTGGCCGTGCGTGCTTACGAGAGAGCACTTCGAGCGGCGGTGCTTGTTTCGCTGAGAGACGTCTACCCCCCCCAAAAATTGAGATAGTGGGGAAGCGAAGGTGTGGGTGCGATCCGAGAAGAGATCGTAAGCTCTGAATACCAAGTGTTACGAGTGCAATTGAGTGATCGAACGAGAATTGCACTATCGAAGCAAGGGTACAATGAGCGAAGGCATGAGCGAAGATTATATAGCGAAACTACAGTGGTAACGGTAATGTGTAGAAAATGGGGTGCGCGACGGGCCTAGCGCCGAGGTTGGGAAATATCGAGGCGGAGGTCCGGAGCGCGGGTTACCAACCGAACCGTGAGGTTGGGTCGCGTCGTGAACAATGGCGGGAATAGTGTCGAGGCGAGTGTCGCGAGTGGTAACGGATTACTGTTGGGTGCTGTTGGCGGGAACAGTGGTGTACGCGCTGAGCAGGGACGCGAAGTAAGGAAAAGGAATTTTCCTTACACCTGCTATGTCCAACCACTAGACCAGTGGGATAAAATGGCTTGTTAAGTAACGGGTCGGTTCGACCATAGGGTAACCCCCCAAGTCAGTGAGCATGTAACCCTTCTCTAGGATCACTCGGGCATCCCCAGTGCTGGTCTTATGACACCCCACCCTCCCACACAAAGATGCCCTAGAACACGAAACCTTTGCTCTGATACCATGTCAGAATTCCAGCAACTACACCACTTCGATAAAATTGCTTGTTAAGTAGTGGGTCGATATGTACGTAACCCCCTGGGCCAGCGAGCCTGTAACCTTTCTCTGGGATCGATCGAGCCTTTCCAGTGCTGGTCTTCTAAAAGAAAACGTGCATGTTCCAGTAGTAAACCTTTATTACCAAACAATCAAACACAACTACACATATTATCCATCGCAAAAATGAAGCTGGCCACACAACCTGAGGGATCAAATGAATTAATCATGTATGATACAGATATGGATCCTCAGCAGACGTATCAGCAGTTGACCAGCTGAGGGCGAAAGGCTGCTGTGTGGTGCCGTGAGTACAGTATGGCAGCAGGGGCCGGTCAGCTGGCGCAGGCAACGGCCTTGACGAGGGCCACGTTGCCCGATGTGGTGCTGCATGCACAAAGAGAGTGGAAACAGCACAGCAGGGAGCGAAAAGTGTCAGAGAGCGAAAAGTGTCGGAGAGGGGAGGGCAGAAACACCGCAAGTGAACGACAGTATGCGAAAGGAAGCACAGGCGGGGGCAGGGGCGTGGCCGGGTGACTGACTCGAAGTTGGTGACATCGCCGGCGGGGCGATAGTAGCCGGTGGCGGAGCCGTAGCAAGAAGTGCTGGTCCAGAAGTACACTAGCCTGCACGACTGCTTGGCCGCCCCCGTGCTGTCCGGCACATTCCAGAGCACGCGCAGTGATGCCGCTGCAATGCCGCCGGGGATGTCGACACAGCTGCCGCGCGTCGAGTTGACGGGCAGGCCCGTGCGCACGAGCGTGGGACCCAGCGCGGGGGCAGTGGAGGTGTAGGAGGCGGTGTTGTAGATCGCCAGGCTGGTGGCAGACACGGCAGCGGGCGTGCCCTGCACACACACGTTGCTGCCCAGGTACCAACCCGTGGGGCACTGGCAGAACGGGTACCTGCTGCCGTCCACCGCACATGTCGCCTGCGCCGGGCACACAGCCCCCACACACGCCGGCGCTGCAGGGCAGGGGGAGGGGAGGGGGTGGAGGGGGAGGGACGCAGAGTGGAGTCAAAGTATTGAGCGGTGTGCAGTGAGGAGGAGCAAACACAAAAGGGAGGAAGTAGAGCAAGTGGCAAATGAGCAGATAAGATTGTTGAGTGAGCAAGGGGAGGGGATAAGGGCACTCACGGATGCAAGAGTCGTTGGTGACAGGCACGAGGCGGGTGGGGCAGGCGCACTGGGCGGTACCGGAGGAGCCGTCACACACGAGGTTGCCCGGGCACGTGATGGTGGCGGTGGTGCAGGAGTCGGGCTGGCACGTGGCGTTGTTCACGAGCACCTGCCCCGCCCCACACACACACATGGGCTGCCCGTACCGCACCGTGCACGCTGCTGTGGACGGGCATGCCACCCGGTAGCACGGGTCTTGCACTGCCGGGGGGGGAGAAGGGAGGAGGCGGAGAGAGGAGAAGAGGGATGGGACGAGAGGGAGATTGAGGTGAGGGTGGGGATGGGCGAGGGTGGAATGGAAAGGTGGGTGACAAGCCATGCGCGTGGGAGGGGATGGATGGTGTCGTGCTCACCATAGGGCGGCTGGCCGATAACGTTGCCTGCCGGGTAGTAATTGCACGCCCACACGTCAGCAGTCGCGCCGCATGATGCCTTGGCACAGCCCACGGTGCGCGTGTTGTTCCAAATGACCTGCGTGGGTAGAGGAGGCACGGAGCAGATGAGCAATCAGCCACGGCTGCATGCACGTCCCAAATGATAGCCGCACCTCTCCTCCCTCAATTCCTCTTCTCCATGTGGCTCACCTGCGTGTAGTGCCCGCAGTCAGAGAAGTTGCCGGTGCTGCAGCCGTTCGTCACGGCGGCGAGGCTGTAGAGCTTGCCCTCGCCCACCCACCAGCTCACCGCCTCCGCGCTCGAGAAATGCCCCCCCGGTTTCCCCGCCGCCAGGTTCTGCCCCTCGCCGGGGTTGCCGCCGTGCGACAGCCCGCAGTTGTACGTGCTGTTGGTCAGCACTGTTGCCCATGCCAGCGCGTCGGCCTCCACTGGGGCCAGCAAGAGGGGGACGAGGAGGGGGTTGAGACATGGAGAGCGGGGAGTGAGCATTGGGGTTGGAGAGGCGGCAGGGAGGGGTGCCGGTGTGGAGAGGTGCTGGGGTGCATGCCTACATGCAGTCCGAGCGGCGGGGGAATGTGAGCTAAGCACATGCCCCCGCCGACAAACCAGTTCCAGCACACAGCACAGCAAGCACTTTGAGAGGCAGGTGAACGCACTCAATGGCCGTGGCTAGAGGCAGACACACAAGCAAGGGCGAGGTGGGGGCTCACGGGTGGCATTCCAGACGAGGGGGATGGCGCCCACTGCTGCCCTGGCCGCGTTTTGATTGTCCAGATAGTCCGAATTCGCCAACGTTGCTGCACGCAGCGAGGCGTGGGGGTAGTGGAGGGAAGGAGGGAGTTGTGTGAGATAGCGAGGGAGAGAGCAGAGCTTGGAAGACTGCAGTGCAAGCAGCAGGCAGCATGACAGGAGATGAGTGCAACGTTGCTGCATGCAGGGGCGAGATGCGGAGGGTGGTGGAGGCACGGAGGAAGTTGCGTGAGTGAGTGAGAGCGTGGGGGAGAGAGTGAGGCCATGAGGGACAGAGCAAGATGAAGAATGCAGCGCAAGCAGCAACAGGAGGGCAGGAGGGGAGGAGGAGAGGAGAAGAGGGGAGAGGAGGGGAGGAGGGCAGGAGGGGGCAGCACTGACCGCTGGTGCACTTGTTGTCAATGAGGCGCGTGTAGGGCGCGGGGCACGTGCAGACGGGCGCGCCGAGCATGAAAGTGCACGTAGACACGTCGGGACACTTCACCCCGTAGCACAGGTCTGCATGTTCTCCGCAGGGGGAGGGGGGGGGTACAGGGGGGAAGTGGGGAGAAGGAGGTACCGAGGGCAGTGAGCAAGGAAGGCGGCCTGAGGGGCCACGGCGGGGAGAGAACGAGGCGAGGAGAGAAAGAAGATGCAGGGCGGAAGACGAGGGGGAGGGGAGGGCACTGACCGGGGCAGTCACACTTGGCGACGCCATTGGCGGAGGAGCAGGTGCAGTTGGCCGGGCATGTCACCAACGAGCAGGGGTCGGCCGCTGGTGGAGAGTGAAGAGGGACGGGTGGGAGGGAGGGGGGTGGATTAGGGGGAAGAGAAGTGCCAGGGGAGATGGGGTGAGGAGGGGCCAGGGAGGTGAGGAGGGGAGGGGTGCAGAGCGGTGCACATGGCAAAAAAAAGGGTGTGTTGAAGCGGCGTGTGGGAGAGGGAGAGAGGGGCGAGAGGGCAACGAAGGTAGAGGGAGAGGGCAAAAAAAGGTGTGAGACAGGGGAGCACTGCAGCGTACGCTGGCAGGCGGCGGAGACGAGGGTGTAGCCCACGGCGCACACACATGTGGCCACGCCATTCACGCTGCTGCACGTGGCCTTGGCGGGACACGTGGTTGACGCACAGGGGTCCGTGATTGCTGCACGCACCAACAGGGGCCGGAGGGGGGCGAAAAGAGAGGTTGGAGGGGATGGGTGAGGCACATGTGCGAGCGGTGGGTACAAGCAACATGCAGTGCATGCATGGGCGTGGGGAGCGAGAAGGAGAGTTACTCACCAACGCACTGGCCGGCGGTCATCTGGTAACCAGCAGAGCACGTGCACGTGGCGACGCCATTGACGTTGGAGCATGCTGAGTTGGCGGGGCATGAGAATCCCGCACATGGGTCGGGCGCTGGTGGGAGGGGCGGCAGCGGGAGGCAAGGCGTCGACACGCATGAGGCCGCGACGAGGTGGCGACACGCATGGCGGCCGGCAGAGATGGGAGATGCGAGATGGGAGATGCGAGATGGGAGATGAAAGATGGGAGATGGGAGATGGGAGATAGGAGATGCGAGATGGGAGATGAGAGATGAGAGATGGGAGATGCGAGGGGAGGAATGGAGCAGCAGACAATACGAGAGGAAACAAGGGGAGGGGGAAAGGGTGGATGAGAAAGCAGCAGAGAGAACCAGAGAATGAGGAGGCGGGGAAACGTGAAGTACCTATGCAGGCGCCGTTGACTGGGTCAAAGCCGGGCAGGCACGTGCACGTGGCGGCGCCGTTGACCACGGAGCAGGCGGCGTTGGCCTGACACGTGGTGCTCGCACATGGATCCGATGGGGGCAGCGCTGCTCGCATGGGAGCGGCGGGAGAAACAGGGGCATGGAGGGGGAGGGAGGGGCAGGGGGTTGGGGGGAAGGGAGACAATGGGGGGAGCGGAAATGAATGGGGGGAAGGTGCAGCGAAGGAGGGGGGGAGTTGCTGAGGAGGAGGGCGGGAGGGGAAAAAGTTGGGGAGGGCAAGACACAACAGTGCCAGCGCGGAGCACGAACGCAGCAGCAGCACAAGGCGCAGCAGGGAGCAGCAGGGAGCAGCAGGGAGCAGCAGGAAGCAGCAGGGAGAAGCAGGGAGCAGGAGGGCATACCGGCGCACTGGCCGTTGACCATTTGGAATCCCGCACTGCACGTGCACGAGGCAACACCGTTGACATTGGAGCACACCGAGTTGAGAGGACAGTTGGCCGTCGCACATGGGTCGGGCACTGCCAGGCGACGGGGGGCGGGGGAGAGGGAGGGGAGAATAGAGGGAGGCGGGAGTGAGCAGGGAGGAGGGGCGGGCCAGGGGCGGGCAGGGAACAGAAAGAAGACGGGCAGTACAATGGAATGGCGAAGGGGAGCGGGAGGGCGCAGAAAATAAGATCACGGCGACCAGAAATTGCGATGCGGGCCACACCTGCCATTGAACGAGCAGCAAGACAACACTCACCGACGCACTGGCCGTTGACCATCTGGTAACCAGCACTGCACGTGCACGTGGCGACGCCATTGACGTTGGAGCATGCTGAGTTGGCGGGACAGGTGTAGCCCGTGCACGGGTTGGGCACTGGTGGTTGGAAGGGGGGGTGAGGGCAAGAAAACGGGTAAGTAAGAAGGATTCGGCCAAAGGCAAGAGAGAAATTGGAGGTGAGGAGTGGGGGCAGAGGGAGAGAGTGGAGAGGAGAGGAGGTGGAGAGTGTAGGGGAGAGAGAGGTAGATGCAAAGGAGAGAGGAGGGCAGGGTGGGAGGACGAGAGGTGGGGATTGATGCAGTGAGATTGAAGGGGGTTGCCTCACCAACGCACTGGCCGTTGACCATCTGGTAACCAGCACTGCACGTGCACGTGGCGACGCCATTCACGTTGGAGCATGCTGAGTTGGCGGGACAGGTGTACCCCGTGCACGGGTTGGGCACTGGTGGGGACAGAAAGGGCAGAAAAGAGTGAGAAGGCGGATTGCAGAGCATTCACGCTGCATTGCACAGCACTGGCAACCATGACGCTGACTCACCAACGCTGGTGAGGGGCAGAAAAGCTGACTCACCAACGCATAGCCCGCCGACCATGCTGTATCCAGCGTTGCACGTGCACACGGCGGCACTGTTGACCACGGAGCACGCGGCGTTGACGGGGCAGGTCTTGGTGGCGCAGGGGTACGTGTTAGTGGCGATGGCGGCCTGGCACGAGATGGACCTGCCCACCGCGATGATGCCGCTCGCATTCCTGCATGCAGTCAACGCAGCCTGAGTCAGTCAACGCAGTCAACGCAGTCAGAGACAGTCAACGCAGCCAGAGACAGTCAACACGGTCAACGGCAAGCAAGGAAGCAGACGAGGAGTGTCAGCGGTGGGAAGGAATGCGGCGGGTGCATGAGAGAGCAAGGGCGCGGGGGCGGGTGAGGGGTGGGGCGGGGCGCGGCTCACACGAGGCTGGTGGTGGCGTAGGAGAAGTTGTTGGGGTTGGCGTTGGCCCACCCGCCGGGGATCTGGTAACCCGAGCCGGAGCAGCAGCAGTTGGGTTTGTCCCAGAAGAACAGCTTGCCGCACACCAGATGGTCCGCCACGCCGTCGTTCACGTTCCACATGATGCGCAGCGATCCTATTGTGCCGTTGAACGCCGCCGGCAGGTTCACGCACGCCGCGCTTGAGTTCGGCGCCGCGCCGCGCAGCACGGCGGGCGCGAGCGTGGTGGGCGTATTGGCGTAATTGGCCGCATTGTAGAGCACGACGTTGGTGCCGACCTCCGCCCAGCTGGCGGTCGGCGCGCACACGCCGTTGATGATGGCCTGCCCCGCCGCGCACTTGCAGAAAGGGTAGCCGCTACCGTCCACCACGCACGTCGCGCCCGCCGGACACACCACGCCCGCGGGGCAAGACGCTGAGGAGGGGGGAAGGGGAGGGGGAGCACGGGCGCGAGGGGCGGAGCAAAGCTCGATATTATAGAATGGCGCGAGCCAAAACAATTGACATCGCAAAAATGAGGAACTGCCTGTTTACGGTGGTGGTGTTATTCTGAGAACCACAGGTTTGGAGCTGTGGGTTTCTACAGGCTTATGTGGCATTCGCTGGTTTGTGGTTCTGTTTTGCCCGTTTTGGCTCGTGTTTGGCAGGGAATCGGGCATGGCAGCTTCCGTTTTCGTGCTGCGCTCCGCCAGATTTCTCATCTACGGTCCACAATCCAACGTTTTTCACGTGCGGTCTAGATCGTTACTTATAATTTGGTTTAGGCGTGGTTGTGTTTGGAATTTCGTGCGAAGTGAAGCCTGTGTGGCGAAATCCCGTTGTTTACAACGTACACATGACCTTTTTTTTTTGGGCGCATGAGATCACGCACAATCTTGCACTGTTGAATTATAACACTCGGTCAAAAACTGTCGTTTCGGGTTCTGCCCAGCGCGCAGCCAATGTATGTTACCATTTCCGCTAATTCGTGACGTTTGGTCGTGACAGAGCTAGCGAACCAAAATACTTTTCGCTACTGCATCCTTTCATCCGATTGGTCGCGCCGAAACAGGGCTCCGCGTGGCAAAGTTCCGCTCAGCGAATTTCTGGAACGACCGTATTGACTAACGGGAAGCTGTTTCAACGTCAATCGATTTTCAATTTCGCGCGAAATTTTTTGCCTACATGCCAGTTTGGTTGGAACAATAAAATATATATGTTTGTTCAATGTTTATGTTTTCCATTTGTAAGGAAAATTCCTTCTCCTTACTTCGCGTCCCTGCTTACCGCGTACATAACCGTTCCCGCCATCAGCACCCATCCATGCACGTTACTCGTTCACGACACTCGCCTCGACCACGACTCCCGCCACTGTTCACGACGCGACCCAACCTAACGGTTCGGTTGGTAACCCGCGCTCCGGACCTCCGCCTCGACAATTCTCCAAACCCCGGCGCTAGGCCCGTAGCGCACCTCAATTTCCCACTTTACCGTTACCACTGTAGTTTCGCTATATATTCTTCGCTCATGCCTTCGCTCATTGTACTTTTTGCTTCGATAGTGCAGTTCTCGCTCGCTCACTCAATTGCACTCGTAACACTTGGTATTCAGAGCCTACGATCTCCTCTCGGACCGCACCCACACCTTCGCTTCCCCACTATCTCAATTTTTGGGGGGGGTAGACGTCTCTCAGCGAACAAGCACCGCCGTTCGAAGTGCTCTCTCGTAAGCACGCACTGCCACGACAGAGGCTCCCGCTGAGTTTGCCCAACACCCCCGCCATGGCCGAAATTAATCTTGCGACATTGACGCAGGAGCAGCTCGACCGTCTCGTGCGTCAACTCGAAGATTCGGCACTCGAAATCGCGACACTCACGGCGGAACGTGACTCCGCCCGCCAGCAATCAACGGTGAATGCACCAGCTCCATCACAAGCACCCGCAAATGCACCTGCGCAATCAGAAGAACCGATCGTCATCTCATCAGGCACACCGACGCAAAACGTGTGAAAATAGTAGATAGAGTTAGGAGCCATAGCTAGGTAAGTCCTAGCTAGGCAAGAGAAGTTTAGGCAAAAGAAGAAGAGGGGGGTTCACTAGAAAGCAGCAGGATACATATAGGAAACCCTAAGGGGTTGTACTCGCTATAGAGTACCCCACTGCAGGCTAGAGAACAATGACATTCTGACACACCCCCATAGCCAAAGTGGGGTGTAATCAGCAGAGCAAGCAAAGCAGAACAAGCTCAAGGTGGATCACAATGTCACCACACATTTTGAGCACAAGTACAAGAAGCAATAGTTTAAAGTTCACAATTATGAGCAAAGCTAGAGGCTATCGCAGAGGGCAAGTGAGGAGGAGGAGGCGAGAGTGAGAGGAGAGGAGATAGGAGGCGACGGCTGAAGCTGCAGACACACGGGCAACAGGAGTCACACTGGCACAGCGGCTACCGGAACAACGCTCCGGACTACTGGAGTAACTGGCTCCGCAGCTAAAAGTAGCGGCAGACGAGCAACGGACCCACGGGCGACTGGCACAGCTGGCTGCGACTGGGCTACCGGAGCAACTCCCCGGACTACAGGTGCTGCTGGCGACACGACGGCAACCTCAGTTCAACCTCCCCAAACAGTCCCACTCCCCCTGACACACACCCCCTGCTTCACCCCTAGCTCCACTCCCCCTTCACCCCCCTTAGTACCACTCCGACGGCTCCAACAGGTCCACCCCCCTCAGCGGCAGCTGCAGCACTGGGAGACGGAGGAGGAGGAGGAGCAGGGGACGGCACACAGAAGCTGCACCCCCAGACCCCCCACCCCCAAACCCTAATTCAGGAGAACGGGCAGCAGCAGGGGTGGGGCGCCATCAGAAGCACGGGGGACAGCGGGCAGCGCAGGGGCAGCGAAGAACGGGCCGCCCACGGGCCTGGCACAGCCGCCCGAACCGCGCGCAGGCGGCGCGAGCCGCGCGCGGGCCTGGCGCAGCCCGTACGGGCCGCGCGCGGGCCTGGCGCAGCCCGTACGGGCCGCGCGCAGGCTGTACGAGCCGCGCGCAGGCCACGACGGGCGACGGGGGGCGACGCGCGGGTCCCCGTCGCCCGTCGCAGCGCCTCCCGGGAGCGACGCGCGGAGTGACGGGGCAGAAACCCGCCGCGCGCCTCGGGGCGCACGGCGGGCAGACAACCGCCGCGCGCCTCGGGGCGCACGGCGGGCAGAAAACCGCCGCGCGCCTCGGGGCGCACGGCGGGCAGAAAACCGCCGCACGCTCCGAGCGCGCGGCGGGATGAAAAAATCCGTCGCACGCCACGGGGCGTGCGACACAGAGAGTAGCAGTAGCAGCGGAAGCAGTGAGGTGGTGAGCCTGTCAGAATGTTGTATTTGTCTAGCCTGCAGTGGGGTACTCTATAGCGAGTACAGCCCAATCTAGGGTTTCCTATATGTACTCAACTGCTTGCTAGTGAAACCCCTCCTTTCTTCATTCTTACTTTCTACTGCTGGTTCTGACATGCTATCAGAGCAGGTCGATCCCCTTGGGTCGATCCTGTGGGTGGGCCCACCACCTCACTGCTTCCGCTGCTACTGCTATTCTATGTGTTGCACGCCCCGTGGCGTGCGACGGATTTTTCATCCCGCCGCGCGCTCGGAGCGTGCGGCGGTTTTCTGCCCGCCGTGCGCCCCGAGGCGCGCGGCGGTTTTCTGCCCGCCGTGCGCCCCGAGGCGCGCGGCGGTTTTCTGCCCGCCGTGCGCCCCGAGGCGCGCGGCGGCTTTCTGCCCCGTCACTCCGCGCGTCGCTCCCGGGAGGCGCTGCGACGGGCGACGGGGACCCGCGCGTCGCCCCCCGTCGCCCGTCGCGGCCTGCGCGACCTGCGTAGGGCCCGCGCGCAGCCCGTACAGCCTGCGCGCGGCCCGTACGGGCTGCACCAGGCCCGCGCGCGGCCCGTACGGGCTGCGCCAGGCCCGCGCGCGGCCCGTACGGGCAGCGCCAGGCCCGCGCGCGGCCCGTACGGACTGCGCCAGGCCAGGGCGCGCCTCGGGCCGCCCGCACGCGGTTCGTACGGGCTGCGCCAGGCCCGTGGGCGCCCTGTTTTCTCTGCCCCTGCGCTGCCCGCTGTCCCCCGTGCTTCTGACGGCGCCCCACCCCTGCTGCTGCCCGTTCTCCTGAATTAGGGTTTGGGGGTGGGGGGTATGGGGGTGCAGTTTCTGTGCGTCGTCCCCTACTCCTCCTCCTCCTCCGTCTCCCAGTGCTGCAGCTGCCGCTGAGGGGGGTGGGTGTGTGGGAGTCGAAGGAGTGGTACTAGGGGGGTGACGTGCAAGTGGAGTTAGGAGTGAAGCAGTGGGTGTGTGGGGGGTGTGTGGGACAGTTGGAGGAGGTTGAGCGGAGGCTGCTGTCTTGTCGTCCGCAGCACCTGTAGTCCGGGGCGCACTGTCCTGGTAGCCCAGAGAGTCTGCTGCGCCTGTCGCCCGAGGGTCCGTTGCTCCTGTAGCTCTTCGTAGCCCGTGAGCCAGTTACTCCAGTAGTCCGGGGCGCACTGTCCCGGTAGCCACTGTGCCAGCAGCTCCTATTGCCCGTGTGTCTGCAGCTTCAGCCGCCGTCTCTCATCTTCTCTCCTCTCACAGTCCCTCCTCCTCCTCACTTGCCCGCTGTGATTACCTCTAGCTTTGCTTCTTATTGTGAACTCCTACTATACCTGCTCATTGTGCTGATTACACCCCACTTTGGCTATGGGGGTGTGTCAGAATGTTGTATTTGTCTATCCTGCAGTGGGGTACTCTATAGCGAGTACAGCCCAATCTAGGGTTTCCTATATGTACTCAACTGCTTGCTAGTGAAACCCCTCCTTTCTTCATTCTTACTTTCTACTGCTGGTTCTGACAGAGCCCACCCACAGGATCGACCCAAGGGGATCGACCTGCTCTGATAGCATGTGAAAATAGTAGATAGAGTTAGGAGCCATAGCTAGGTAAGTCCTAGCTAGGCAAGAGAAGTTTAGGCAAAAGAAGAAGAGGGGGTTCACTAGAAAGCAGCAGGATACATATAGGAAACCCTAAGGGGTTGTACTCGCTATAGAGTACCCCACTGCAGGCTAGAGAACAATGACATTCTGACAAAACGACAGCGTGGGATAGCGCTCAGGCGCAGCCAGTGATGGCGCCGCTCAATCGATGCCTGGCATGGAGAGAAATCGGGCCGCGCCAAGCCCGCGTGGGCCTCGCGAAGCTCGTCGGCACGTGGAATTTGCAGCAACAAGTGGCAACCACGACATCATGGCACCAATGCCACTCAAGCCGCAGCGCCCGCCCTGTTTCGATCCGAGCCAACGTGGAGGTCCGACGGTTCAGTCGTGGGTCTTCACGATGAACGTTTTATTGGATGCGAATTACGTCGAGTCGGACGCAGCGAAGATTCGCTACGCTGTTTCGCTGCTGAGGGGCCCCGCCATGGACTGGTGGCGAGTCATCGTGACGTCGCCACGCACCTACGAGCCACTGTCGCAAGAGGAAGGGCCCACGGGTCCAGCCGTCACCTGGAGTTCATTCTGCGAAACAGCCCAATACAGCACGTGGGATGCGTGGTGCGCAGGGCTTCGGGCGCGCTTCGAGCCGATAGCGGCTTCTATTTCGGCGCGTCAGAAACTGCGTACTTGGCGGCAGCTCGGGTCGGTTCAAGACTATACGAGTGGTTTTCTCGCACTATACGAGCAAGTCGGCTACATGCATGAAGCTGAGTGTGTGGACCGTTACGTTGGAGGGCTGAAGCCGGACATCTCGCACGAAATCATGCTACGCGGACTCTCGAATTTCAACGAGATTCTCGCGCTCGCCGAGAAGATCGATATCTTACGCCGCCCGAGACCGGGGTCCT